GGATATTATCAAAAACTCCAGGCTTTAGCAGGATGCTTGCCTGTGGAATCTTGATATACTTACGGATGTATACCCAAACAATCCCGGAGGACCTCTGAACAAGCGAAAAAGCATCAAAAATTTTTTTATTTTCAGTACTTTTAGGCTACCGAGGGCAAAATACCGTAGCTCAAACTTACTGTAAGAGTTGTTAGTGCTATCTTCATCAGGGGTACTGTGTACCGTATAGCACGACTGGTCATCGAAGTTACGAACCGAGCCACTTGCGTAATATTCGTGGGCCCGGATCAGCGTCTTCACTTTCAGTGCTCGTAGTACCGCTTTCAGCGCCTTTTGGTTAAACGTGTATCCACATCTGCGATGACTTGGTGCGAACCATCTGAAGGAAAACCCCTTTCAGTGAGAGGATCAGTGCAAAAAATGTTCGGGTTTTCACGACGAAACTCGTTGATTATGTTAAGATGCAACCGCATACACCGAATGCAACTAATCTGAATTTACTTCAGGCTGTATACTTTAAGTCGACATGTTCCATAACTTACGGGTATTTAATTTTTTTACAGCCAAGTGAGTGAATTTTTCTTACGAATATCACTGAGGTGTGTTATTTTTCGCCTTTTTACGCGCCCAGTGGTTTTATGCTTTGATTAGCAGTTGTTTTATCGTCTCGTTTCTTTTGGTCATTGATGCAGCTGGTAACTTCATTCTCTATTTTGGGCTTCTCTTTTCCACATAATTCCATACAGCCGTTCCAGTGGATCTTTCCACTACACTGATGGCCTTTAACATTTTTGAAGTGTCAATCGATATTTTGCTTCATCCAGCTGTTATCTCTCATTCTTGTCACATGACCACCCCAACTCTTCTTCCTCGCCAATGTTGCCTTGCTGATATCGTTCGCGTCAGACCGGAACTGCAGTACTTCATTGGAGACGTAACGCAGCATGCTGACGCCTACCATATATTAAATCATGCCTTATTAAGTCAATCTTAAATTTTTCCGTACTGCAAACGTGGTATTCCATGTTTCACTTCAAAAAAAAAAAAAAAAAGACAACAGCAATGGTTGTACAATGGGATTAGAAGTTGCCGATTTCAAAGACAGCGTTTCGGTAGAGTTATAAAAGGCGTTTCAGTGCTTTGTAAAGGCTATCCATTTATTTTCTGTCTTTATTACAACACACTTCATTAAATATGCAAGAAAAATGAGCTTACTTTTTTTGCCCCAGAACTGGATCAGCCCAAAGAAGATCAGCAAGTGTTAGGCCTTGAACAAATTCCATGTCTGTGGTATATGTCGGTTTGGCTATGCGCCTCAAAATATCGCGTGAAGTAAGCCACTGCGATATACCTCCATGACAAGCAAAATAGTGATCTGGAGAATAAATCATGAATATCCGTTGCCGACTATGTTTTTCCTTTGATACAAAAACCCTTACTATTTGAGATGCTAGCTCGTTCCTGGATCCCTGGCGATGTATCTAGAATTCCTTTTTTCCCGAAATGCTATTTGAAATTGAAAACAAACTCGAAATAATTGCACATACGGACATATGGTCGAATACGTAATTGATATGTGTGAAAAACTGAGGCTTCTTGAAAATGTGCACACACTAAACAAAGAAAAATGCAGCATAATTATGCATACAAGATTTTTAGTGAGAAATTTTAAAAAAATTTGATGGGTGAAAATTAAAAAGTTAAAAATTACATGCTTCGACAATATCTTTGTCTATACAGCGTAGTATCGATTAATGCCAAGGACTTTTTGCAACATTTTTGCGAATTCTTGCTTTTTCCTGCTTTTTGTTTTCAGGTTTTTTATTTTCATGATAAATTTATATTAGCTGAATTCTTTTAAAAGCCACTGAGCTGTCTTCTTTTCTGAAGGCAAAGCGAACGCCAGGATCATCTAGCGCGCTGACTGTTAGGCATTGTAGTATTGGTCAAAGCTGTCGAAAAAGCTGTCAGTAACATAGCTAAGGAACGACACTACTGAAAAGCAGTTTTGCTCAAAGCACCTCAAACCTTAAAAAAAGTCAAAAATTCAAAAAACAATGATCAGAGTCTCAGCAAACTGTAGAAATTTTACCTCATCGTAGAAGTAGAATGCTTTACCGCACTGATAAT